CGAGCCAGAGGCCACACAGCTGCTCGGAGACCACAGCAGCCAAGGGGATGCTTTCAAGACACAAGTGACCCAGCCACCTCATCCTGCATCCCTCTGAATAAAACCTAAAGGCACCCCCGGGCCCCCCAACTCCCCACTTCCTCCCGCGGCTCAGGCTGGCGTCCCTGGCCGCCCCTCCCCCCCACACACCTCCAGCCACCTGGTGGGCACCCTGCAGCCTGGTCCCCCTCATCCCCACGGCATCCTCCGCCTGCCACAAAGCCAGTGAACGGGCTGAATGAATGCCCCACTTCCTGCCTCCACCCACGTGGCAGGGGTCAGGAGCACGACCACTCTGCTGAGCCCTCATCACGTTCTCGTGCAAGGTGGGGAAACTGAGGCTCAAGGAGGCAAAGTCACGACAACGAGGGATCACACGCACAGGCCACGAAAAGGGCCTCCAGGCTCTTGGCCCAGGGCTCCGGGCGCTGCAACACGGGGGACTCCCCTGCTCCTCCCGCCCCAGGGGACACCCCTGGGGGTGACTCAGACACCCACAGGCCCGTCTGTGGTCAGGCCTCCAGCCCCTGGCCCCGGGATTCTGGACGAGGCTCTCTGGCCCTCGGGCCGCCAGTTCCATCCTTGAGAGGAACCCAAGGGCCGCCCCAGAGGCCGGTTTCTGTTACAGCAGACGGGGACAAACAACAGGTGTGCACGGGCGGCCCACCGGGGAGGGCCACACGCCGGCCCACGCCTCGCTCCGGTGCCAAACAGGAAGCTACGGCGTGGGGAGCAGGGCCACCCCAGGCACCCCGAAAGTAAAAACAAGCCATGCGACGCCATGGGGGGGGGTGCGGGCACCAGCTTCCTCCCAGCCCCCACCACCTCCAGCTCTGACCTCACTTCCTGCCGCGCCCCCAAGGTGCTGGTCGCACCCCTGTCCCCCAGCGTGAGGATCTGTGGCTCACCCCCCCACACCCATTATCTACTTCGCGTTAGCAAAGAGCGATAGGATCCCGAGAAGTTGCAAAAACAGCACAGGGAGGGCCTGGGTGGCCCCCCCGGCGCGTCCCCAGCGCTGACCTCTCACGCACCCCAGCGTGCGACCGACCAGCACCCGATGCTGGCACGCTGCTGCTGCCCGGGCTGGAGGCCCCGTCAGGTTTCTGTGTTTTCTGGTGTGTTGTCTCTGACCCTCCCCCGCGGGCACGGACGGCCTTCCCACCCGCGACCCCCACGCACACGGCCCCCGCCCCCTGCTCCACCACGGCCCGCACCCTCGGGTGCACGGAGGGGTTTCCGTGGTCTGGCTTCCCCGCCGGGCAGGGAGCACCTTGAGCCCGGAACTGACGGCGTCTTTCTTACTCAGCGTCCTGCACGCCGGGCCCAGGGCGGGACGGGACCGATGCTGACAGACGAGCAACTCGGAGCACAGCCCTCTACCCACCGCCCAGCCCCGTGGGCTCCACGCTTCTGGGGAGACGCACCTCTTCCTGTCACTCCCCAGGACGGCCCCCCGCCCATGACCCAGGGACCGGGCTCAGGCCCATCAGCGCACCCGCACCGGGGCCCGGTGATGGCGGGGGCCGTGGGGCCTTCCCAGAGAGCGCAGGCGCCCCAGGACCTACGTCCAAGGGCTGGCCAGTGGAGGTGCTGGGGCCTCGCGGAAGGAAGGATGGTACTGGAGCCACCAGTTGAGGCCCCGGCCTCCCGCTCACCGGGACCTCGGACCTCCGCACCCAGCACCTGCACAGGCGGCTAGGGCGACAGGCCTTGTCAGAGGGCTGCTGGGAGATCGGTCCCCAACAAATTCCAAGTGGGCCAGGCCCCCGAGCGACCGGCTCTGTGCAAAGGCTCAGCTCTGTGCTCGAGTCAGCCCCGCGCGGTAAGAGCATCCTGGTCCCCACCACGCCGACGGGGAGATGAGCCCAGGCGGACCCTGCTGTCTGGGACCCGGGGCCCGGCCTCACCCCTGCCACAGAGCAGGGCCTGTGGTGAACGGGTGTGGAGGCCCCAGCAAGGCCCCCTTAAGAACAGGGGCGGGGGCTGTGCCCAGAGAAGCAGCTGGCCCTTCAAAAATAACCCCAGGAGAGGTTCCAAGCACAGCCAGGCCCGGGCCTGACACACACCCTCTGACACCCGGAGGTCCCTTCCAGGCAAGGCCGAAGCTCGGCCGCACGTGTCCTCCCCACAGCGCTCCACGCCTTCCTGCCCGCAGGCTGCTGACTGTCCCCCACCCCCAGGGGCCTGCCCTCTTGCGGTTAAGTCACGGGTCACCTGCCAAGAAAGGATTCTCCAAACCTCAGGCCCCGGCCCCACGTACGGTCACGTGATAGACACACACAGCCCAAGGCAGGTCCCGAAGGAGCCCATCCCCCTTAAAAATAAGTAAATAAATAAAAAATGATGGAGAGCTGAGGAAGCCAAGCAAAAAGCGTGACATGCAGGGAGTTCCCTGGCGAGTCTCCCACGCCAGTGCTCTCGGCCCCGCGGGCGAGGGTTCGACGGAGGCCTGGCCCAGAGGGCGCTGCGCAACCTCTGGAAGTGTCCAGGGCCCAGGAGCGCAGCCAGCAAGCTGGGGGACGTTCGCCCAGGCAGGACAGGGGTTAACTGGCCGACAAAGGCCGACTGGCCGGCCCTGGCTCCCGCCGTGCCCTCGCCGGGTGCCCAGCCCGCGGCGCGCAACGCCGACTGCTGAGTCAGGCCGCCTGCACTCCCGCCCGATTGTTCTCGGTCGCAAAGGCCAAAGACAAAAGGGACGCTGACAGCCTAACTCTTCCAACTGAGGGGCACTGGGGAGGGGTGCGGGGGGGGGGCAGCTGACCCAGGGCAGCCCGGCCCCACTTCTCTGGGGCAGCACCCCAAGGGCCCCTCCTGCCACCCCGCACTTCAGCGAGGGACCCTGAGAAGCTTCGGTCCGCCGGCCACTGGCAACAAAAGGGCCGGACGCTCCCTCTGACCCCGTGTCCCCAGCTGGGTCTCCGCCCCTTGGCAACAGCAAGTAGGGCCAGAGGCCTCTTCGTCGTCACAGGTATCAGATGCCACAGGCTTAGTTACAAGATGACACCGTCACCTGAAGTCGAGAGGGTGCGGCGGTAAAATCTGCGCTGACCCCCACCTCCCCTCACGGGGGTGGCACTCAAGGGAGCAGGAGGGGAAAGGTCAGGGCACCCTGCCCGCCCGCCCGCCCCAGGAGCGGCGGCTGAGAGCACGAGGCTGGGGCTGGCGGCCTGGTTTCAAGTCACGTCACTTGGGTCCCCCTGACAGACTGTCCACCTCTCTTTGCCACAGTTTTTTCATCTCGGAAGTGAGGGTTACATCAGCCCCAGCCTCAGAAGGCCGCTGTGAGGACAGAGAATGGGAGGCGGGGGCACGGAGCCCCCGGTCCCGCGTGCCGGCACCGTGCAATGTGGTCATTGTTTCTGTTGAGGAAATAACAGATGGGGAAACAGGACGCTCAGGAGGAAGGCACCACCTGCCAAGGGGACCCAGCTGAAATGTGGCAGAGCCGGGATTTGAACCTGGGTCTGCAGGCTCCGGGGTCAAGTCCTGACAGTGACTGCAGTCCTAGAAGCAGCTGCAAGGGATCTGAAAAGAGCTCAAACGTGTGCGGGGAAGGCGCCGCAGGAGGTGGACCTGGGGCCCAGTGCCAAGGCTACGGAAGATCAGGAATGCCCTCCTCCTGTGACCTGGGCCCCACGAAGGAAGAACTCAGGACGACGGCAGATGTCCCCAAATACCTCCCGAGGCGGCTCCAGACCTCTACGAAGCAGATGCCAGGCCGAGAAGGAAACCCAGAACCGCCAGCTCCCAGCCGCCCCCGGGATCCCTCCCGGGAGAACAGACCGAGAGAGCTGAGCTCCCACGCATGCCGATCCATGCCAAGGCCACCGACTCAGGCGCCGCGCGTCCAGGGAGCACCCCCAGGTCGTGGGCGTGCAACTCCTCGGCCACCCATGTGACCTGCCCGGTCCACTCGAGCCCAGTTCCCAGGCAGCCGGTGGTTCCTTGAACCGTGCCTGTTTCTAGGGCTGACACATGCGTGTGAGACACACACATACACACACACGGCTCGAAGCACGGAATCCAGAGCCCAGGATTGGGTTCTGACAGCTTGAGAGGCGCGAACATTCTAAAAGGGGCTGCCTGTGTTCTCACCGCCCTTGCCATGCCCAGGCGCACAGCCCACCCTGTGGCCACGCTCCCGGCACCCGGACACACAGCCGACATCAATCCCAGGGCCGGGGACTCACGCCGCACGGCAGGCTCCTTTGTGCCCCTGAAGTGTGTGTGTGTGTGTGTGTGTGTGTGTGTTCTTCCACAAGCAGCTGCTATGACTTATTAGACAAAAAAAAAAAAAAAAAAAGCGAGGCGAGGGCAGGATGCGCCAAATCAGAGCACGTCGGACAAAAGGCGCACAGGCCGGCCCGGTCCCGTCTCACCTTCATAAGTAACTGACCTCTGACCCCGGATGGCAGTGGCCTGCTGCCACCATCCGTCAGGCACCGGAGTGGGTCACCCGGCACCCCAAGAAGAGCGCGCAGCCGCTGGGCCCACAGAACAAGGGCAACGCTTCCAGAGCCTTCACCTGCCCTCCCCGAGGGCCTCTCCCAAAGTCTCCACCCACAGAACTCAGAGATGCCGCCGCCGTCCCCATTTCTCAGGGGTGCGGGGGGTAAACTGACGGACAACACAACTGGTCACAGGGAAGCCAGGACTTGAGACCAGGCTCCGGCAGCCTCCGGGGCTCGGGCACCCTGGCCTCTGTCAGGACCGGAGGAGCCCTCTGGGCCTTCCCCTGGCTCGCCCCGCCTCCCCACCCTCTACACGCAGCCAGGTTTCCGCAAGATCAGAGAAGCTACTGGTTCCCAGACATGGAAAGGTGGGTGCGAACGGCACCGTGGGGTCTTGACGGTCCTCGGATGAAAGACGCCCTCGGACCAAGGGGCGCCCAGGGCCTGCGTGGCCAGGTCTGCCCACTCCCCCCCCCCACTCCGCCCCAGCGGGCAGCGTCCACTCACCCGTAAGTCCGCTGGATCAAGGTGGGGTGCAGCTGCTGCACGCCAATAGCAAAGCCTGAAACGAGAGGCCATGCAGGGGCTCAGCCTCACCTAAGGGAGCAGAAGCTCACAGCCGGGCCCCCCCTCATCTATAGGGATAGATAACTGGCTTCCTCTAGGCTCCCAGGCCACTCTCCCACAAACCCCGAAGCTCCTGCCTGAGGAAGCCAAGGGAGCGGGGTAACAGCAGCCTCTGGGCGTCTGTCCCCTGATCTCCAGCCCCGGGAACAACTTCTTCCTTCCCTGGTGGACGGCTGACAACTGGCTAATGCGCCCTCCGCGCCCTGCTCTGCTGGCACACGTGCCCAGACGAAGGGGTCCCACTCCCAAGCTAGGGGACGACCGCCGGGTGTCAGCTCTGCAAGCACATGATAGCTGACAGCCACTCAGGGGGCAGGGCCGGGGCGTGGAGGGGGGGCCTTTTCCACCCAACAGATACCGACACTGAATATAGCAAACATGACGAGCCAGGGAAGGAAAACACAGGCTCTCACCCGTCTGGAGGCTCCTCGGCTTGGCACCCAGATACGCCAGGTTCACGTTGGCCTTGCGGCCGTCGATGTTGGGGTTAGGGTCCTTGCAAGCTCTCTCCGCTGCCGCCCGGTCGGCCATGGTCACCTGAAGGGGTACAGATGCCTCAGGGGCCTCTCTTGCCGCTGGGAGGAGCAGAGGGCTCACTTCTGGCCAGGGGCGCTCCCTTCCCCCTCCCTGGGGGCCAGTTACTCTGAACCTCTGACCCAGTCCCCACCGACCCCCCCACCCCCACCATGGGGCCCTCCCGCCAAGGTCCCCGGGGAGTCCAGCTCCTCCATCCAAGTTCACGTATTGGGAAACCTAGCTTTAAGGACAGAAGCGATCCCCAGGGGAGACGAGGAACTTCCCCCCTCCCCACACCGAAGGCCTGAAGCCCGGGGCCCCAGCTTGCGCTACCTGCCCCTGGGGGTGCGAATCTCCTCATGGGAGGGGTTGGGGGACACTAGTTAGAAGGAAAAGTAGGAAACATGCCTTCGGGCCGTTGTTAACTTAAACTGACGTTTGTTCTGGGCGTCTAAAGAAACTCTTGTAAAATACCGGAGGGGAGGGGGTGCTAACGGCCTCCAAAGCGCCCTGGGGTGAAACCTCTTCTGCCTCCTTGTTGATCCAGGAAGTCCTGGGAGTAGCCGCCGGTCCCCAAAGCCTATCCACAAACCCCGAGGCGCTAATTGAACACAGCGGCTCTCCCTTTTAACCAGGGAGTGCGGTGGGGGCAGGGAGACTCGGCCGAGGAGCGGCGGCGGGACGCGCAGGAGGCTGAACCTCAGCCCCGGAGCCCAGGAGGGGGCGGCAGGTGCCGGGGCGGCCGGGCGTGCGCCTGCCGGCGACTCCGCGGGTCGGTGCGGGCCGGGGTGCGCGCCCGGCCGCCGGGCCACTTACGAAGCCGTAGCCGCGAGACTTGCCCGTCTGGCGGTCGGTGATGACCACGGCCTCCTCGATGTCCCCGAAGCCCTCGAAGTACTTCCTGAGCGAGGCGTCGGTGGTGTGGTAGGGCAGGCCGCCCACGAAGATCTTGGTGAACGTGGTGTCCTTCTGCGAGCCGTGCATGGCGCCGGGGGCGGCCGGGGGCCGCGGGAAGCCCGCGCTCGGGGCGCACGGCGCGGGCTGCAGCAGCAAGGGGGGGGGGGGCGCCCCGCCGCCTACGGACCCGGGCCGCGCGGCGCGGCGCTCATGGGCGGCGGCGGAGAGCGAGCAGGACAGCAGCGGCGCCGGTCACCGCCGGGCCCGTCCGCTCGCGGGCCGCTCCCACCGTGCGCGCCCGGCTGCGCGGCGCTGCGCTCCTGCCGGCGCTGCGGGCACTCTGCGCCCCGGCGCCCGCCCCCGGGCTTTGTAAGCGGCCCCGCCCCTAGTCCGCCGCGACCACGCCCCAGCCGCGGCCCCGCCCCGCCCCGGGCGCGCGGCGGCTGCCGGGAAGCGTAGTCCCGGCCGGGGCGGCCGCGGGGCGGGGCGGCCACGCGAGCCGGAGTGAGCCGGGGCGCGTCCCCGCTGACACTGCGGCCCCGGGGGCCCCCTGCGCGCCCGCAGGGGTCTAGTGAGTTAGAGGTCAGCGACGACCAGCCATGTCTATTGAGATAGGATGCAGCTACGTATATTAAGAGGTGAAATGATTCTTGTTTTATATGCAAATATGATTCACTGGACAAAGACGTTTCAGGGCCTTTCCACGATGGGGGCTGCAGGGACGCACAGAACTTACGCCCTAGCTCCCCGGAGCCTCTAACTAAGACAAGAGACAAGTCAGCGCTAAAACTGCAGTGGACAACCACGGAGGGATAGAAGCCAGGGATCTGCGATCTAGGAAGGTCCAGAGTGGTCCCAGAGGCCCCCCTGGAGGAGGTGACCGGGCAGAGGACGTTGTGCTGGCCTCCTCCAGCTCATATCAGGGATTCCTCCCTCTAGGTGGGCGACCCTGGGGGGAAACGCAAGCTGAGGGCGGTGGGTCTCCCCGTCCCTGTCCCCAGCCATGGAAACAGGCCATCTGTGAGCCCCCGTCAGGCACGACGGGCTACAGAACTTGCTCAGTTCAGAGCTGTTGGGAAGTTCGCAACGAACAGGAGAGCATTAAGCCAAGCGTGGGGCCCTTCTGGGCTTGGGGCCCTCGAAGCCGGCCCCGCACCAACCTCCCCCGCTGGTGGGGCACTCTAGGTGCAGAGGCCGGCTCTGGGCAGCTCGGACCCTCTGCCACCCGCACAGCTGTGGGGACACCCAGTGCAGCTCTAAGTGCGGCCACTCCTGGCCTGACCCTATGGCCTGCTCTGGGACGGCGGGACACAGGCGGGGACCTGGGGGGCGGGGCAGGCCGTGCTCCCTATTCTTTCCGCCTTTGAGCCAGCACCTGGGGTGCTTGACTCCAGGCCCCCTACGCTGGGAGGGGAGCCCTCAGTTTTCAGCAGGCCTCCCCGGATCACACGCTCCTCCGTCCCAGCTCCTTCCTCCCTTGTGCGGCCCGTGTTCCTGCGGAGCCTCGGACACACTCCTGCCTCCTTTGGGGCCTTTGCCTCAACGCTTGCCCTTTATCCTGCCTTTTTTTTTTTTTTTTTAATGTTTTTATTTATTTCTGAGAGAGAGAGAGACAGCGTGAGCAGGGGAGGGTCGGAGAGAGAGAGACACACACAGAATCCGAAGCAGCTCCAGGCTCTGAGCTGTCAGCACAGAGCCCGACGCGGGGCTCGAACCCACGAACCGTGAGATCATGACCTGAGCCGAAGTCGGACGCTCAACCGACTGAGCCCCCAGGCGCCCCCCCCCCACTTTTTTCCCTTAACCTTTTATTTTTTGAGAGAGCGAGAGAGAGTGAGCAGGGGAGGGGCAGAGAGAGGATGACACGGAGTCCAAAGCAGGCGCCAGGCTCCCAGCACAGAGCCCGACACGGGGCTGGACCCCACACGCGAGATCGTGACCTGAGCCGAAACTGGACCCTCAACGGACGAACCCAAGCGCCCCTATCCTGCTATTTTCTTTATTCCAATCTACTTCTGTTTCCAGAAGCCCTGCTCAGCCAGCCGCTCATTCACAGCCCCTCTCTCCTGCTAGGTGGGACCCGGATGTTTGCTCCAGCTGTAAGGCCGGCAAGCAGAGGGCCCGCGGGAAATGTTTGTTGACTGAATGCGCGGTAGAATGGAGGAGAGGAGCGCTCTCCACCAGACAAGGGGCCCTTTTAGAGCGGCCTTTGGAAACTTTGATTAAAGTGTGGCCTAGATTTTTTCCTAGAGGCCAGGGAAGGAGGCCACTGCCCGGCCACGTGATCTTGGGCAAGCTGAGTCCCTCCCCCGGGTCTCAGTTTCCCCTTCCGTGACACACAGGGCCTCCCTGGGGCCGCGCCAGCGGTGGCCACGAGGGGCTCGGGCGGGGTGGGCGGAGCCTGTGCCCGCGGCGCCAGCAGGCGAGGCTTCCCGCCTACAAGTCCCAGAGCCGCCTGCGCGCGGCCCCGCCCACCGCGCTCCCGGAGCCCCGCCCACCGCGCTCCCGAAGCCCCGCCGGACAAAACCCGGGCGGGGGAGGCGCGCGGGCCGGGAGCGCGGCTGCACGCGGGGCGGCCGGCGTCTGTCTAGCACGTGCTGGCGCCGCGGGGGCCTGGGGGCCTGAGCCAGGGCGGCCGCCCAGGGCGGGGCACGGGCTGCGAAAACGGGAACGCGCGGGGCTCCGGCGGGGCGTTTGTGCACCTCGCGCGGCTGCCCGGCCCGGAAGGGGGCCGGGGGCCGTGTGTGGCTTACCGGGCGGATGCCCGCGTAGGGTTTCGTTCGCTCGTGCATCCTGTGCCCCCTCATGTCTGCGTCCCCGGCCTCTCTGCCCACGGGGGGCCGCACTTTCCCACGTGCCTCCACTTCTGCTTGAGACTCAGGACTCAGCCAACACATACTCAGTAATGACCTATCAGGTGTCGGGGTGGGAGGGAGGGGGAGGGGAGGGGGTGGGGGGAGGGAGGGGACGGGGGGAGGGGGGGAGTCTTCCAGGCCCCGAGACGCTGCACGTAGGAAACCAACATAACCGCCTCACCACCACCCTAAGAGCTTACGTTTTAGGAGGAGGAGGGAGAAGGCGAATGAATGAAAGGTGAATATTATGTTTATATTTAGGTAAATGTTTCCGGTTAGGCCGTGAGAAGGGAGCAAAGAGGAACAGAGAGATGGCCGAGTGAGAACTGTTCTGTTAGAGTCAGGAAAGGCCTGTGCGAATGGGTAAGAGCCGGAGCCATTGGAGGATGGGGGACAGCAGAGGGAATAGAATGCAAGGGCTCAGAGCCACCAACATTTATCCTTGTTTAATGTTTATTTATTTTTGAGAGAGAGAGAGAGACAGCGCGAGCAGGGGAGGGGCAGAGAGAGAGGGAGACACAGAATCTGAAGCAGCTCCAGGCTCCCAGCTGTCAGCACACAGCCCGACACAGGGCTTGAACTCACAAATGGTAATATCATGACTGGAGTCGAAGTTGGCTGCTTAACCAACTGAGCACCCCAGGAGTCCCCCAATATATTTAAAAAAATGTTAATGTTTATTTTTGAGAGAGAGCGAGAGAGCTCAGTGGGGGAGGTTCAAAGAGAGAAGGGGACGGAGGATCTGAAGTGGGCTCTGGGCTGACAGCCCAATGCAGTGCTCGAACTCATGAACCGTGAGATTGTGACCTGAGCCAAAGTCAGACACTTAACCAACTAAGCTACCCAGGTGTCCCGTACGTAACATTGAGTACTGGGCACTTTTCTGTGGTGGATCCTCAGAGACTGCTAATAATAAAGGTCATTTGTCCTGGCCTGTTTGGGGTCAGGTCCTTGACTAGGTGACTTACATATAATAGATGATTTAACCTTGGGGCACCTGGGTGGCTCAGTTGGTTAAGCCTCCGACTTCGGCTCAGGTCATGATCTCATGGTTTGTGGGTTCGAGCTCCACTTTGGGCTCTGTGCTGACAGCTCAGCGCCTGGAACCTGCTTCGGATTCTGTGTCTCCCTCTCTCTCTCTGCCCCTCCCCTGCTCTCGCTCTGTCTGTCTGTCTGTCTCTCAAATGTAAATTTAAAGAAATTTTAGATGATTTTTAACCTCAAAACAGTCCTTGTCATATGTGGGTACTATTAGCCCAGTTTAAGGTGGTGGGCACAGAGGCTCAGAGGTGCTTCCCCAGGGCCACCAAGTGAATGATGACCAATCCATGACCCCCTTTGATTCTCCTCACAGCCTTTAGGGAGGATCTGTCTCCCCACTTTGAGGGCTGGGCGGGTTGGACCTGGGAGACGTTAAGAGAAGTGATTGAGTGGAAGTCTTAGGGGGAAAGCCCAGACTCTCAGGTCGGGGAACATCAGCCTTATCTGGGACCATGCCTGGGTGTGTGCACCTGTTATGAGTTGAATTGTTTCTCCCCCAAAATATGCTCAAGTCCTAACCCCTGGTGCCCACAAGTGTGACATTATTTGGAGGTTTTCATAACATAATCAGTGTAAGAGAAAGTCACATTGGATTCGTACGAGGCCTAATACTGTGAGTACTGTCCTTACAGGAAGCCCACGTTAAGGGACAGACATAGGGAGAAGCCCATGTGACAATAGTGGCAGAGAGTGAAGGGATGTACGCACTGGCCCGGGAGCATCATGATGGCTGGGAGCACCAGAAGCTGCGAGAAAGGCGCGTGTGGAACAGACTCTCCCTTCTTCGTGCGCTCAGAGGGCGTACAAGTCCCGCCGCTGCCTTGAGTCTGGACCTCTGGCCCCAGAACGAGCAAATAACTTTCTGTTGTCTTCTGATGACCACCCAGTGTGTGGCCATCTGCTGTGGCAGCCCCAGGACATGAACGCGATTGGAGAGATGAGGACAGAGCCCTGGGCAGGTGGAATCACGCAGCCTGTCCCGCTCGCGTCTTGGACCCGCCTTCAGAGCCGTGTGGGGGTCCGGGGACTCCTGGGTGTCATGCCAGGACCCAGGCCTGGGAAGCAGCCCTGTACCTCCCTGGGTTCAGCCGCTCAGCCGGGAAAGAGGGGGGGGGGGATCCAAGAAAGGATTCCTCCGCTTAGAACATCACCAGCTTCTGTCCAGTCCCATCCTTGCTGCCCAGCCCCCACTGGGAACAGAACCAGCGCCTGCCTCCCCTGCGCCCCTCCGGGGGGTCTTTCCCGCAGCGAGGGCCAGGCGAGGACCCCACCATCCCCACCTGCGGCTCACAGGCCCCATCTGGCCGCAGCCCGAGAATCGACTCTGATCTGTCTTTTGTTTTCTGTCCATCCCGGAACGCGGTCAGCCTGGCGTTTGGGTCAGTGGATCACTGAGCTGGATCCTCCCAGGACCTGGGATCAGGCTCCGTTTGTCCAGACCT